GATATAATAGTTTCTTTAAAAGTTGAATCATCTCATAATCTATATGTAAAAAAAAAAATTTTTTTACACATATGTTACAATTTGAAATTTTAAAAGTAGACATAAATTACTAAAACTATTTATATATTATTACAATCAAACGTAATATATCATATAACATGTTATTTTACTGTATAAAATGGTATATCATACTAATATATAACATGTTATGTTCATATTATATTCATCATGTTTTATGATAACATGGTATACTATGTTAGATAACATATCATATTCATCATATTATAAACAATCTTCAAAATATATTACTATGTTTACTCGTAGATATCATATCATATAATAATAGCATGACATACCATATTAATATATGACATATTATATGATAAATAACATACTATATTCTATATAACATGTTATACCATACAAAAGATAAATTGTATATAGTATATTATATTACGTTTTATTATGATATTATATAATAGTCTGATTAATCATAAACATAATAAATCTGATCATCAATATCTTGAATGTAATGTCATTTTCAGGTTATGGTATATCATATTGCATTTATAAATAATATATTATGGTATGTCATATATAATGTTACGTTTCATTAAAAAATTATATGAATAGTTTGTGTAATATATGTCGATTTTCAAAATTTCAAATTCTTATATATACAGAAAAAAATTTGGTTTTTTATATACAAAGATAAAAAACAATTAAAATTTTAAACAAAATATTAGATCAAACAAAAATCAAATGAAAAAATAAAATGATGAAAGAGAAAATATATTTGTTTATTTTTAAACTAATGGTATGTCATAATTTGGACTGACACAATTTGACACAAAACTGTCTTTCATTAAATTAGAAGGGTATTATGGTCATTTGGTATGCCATTCACTTAATATTTTTGAAAACAGATTACATTGCTAAATACCATACATTAGCATGTCATATCATGCTATTTCCCAAGATAAAAAGAGAAGGAAAAAGAAAAAGTGAAAAATGGTTAGTTCGTTCATTATAATTGTTTTTGTGTGTTATATATGTTAATTTCCCCTAAGACACTATGTTAAATGTGGAGGTTTTATATTTCTGAGTGGCCACTGTATCTTAAATCATAATCTCAGGATACAAAGTTTTCAAAAAATTCAAGTTGTCGTCGTATTATAAATCAAAATCCGAGTTTAAAATTTTGAGTGAGATTTCTAGAACTAGAAAAAGAGAGTACAGATACTATTGTGATTGATATTTTTCTTATATATTTTTAAAATAACCAACTTTTAATTATTACAGTGGATTCTATCTAAATTATTTCATGATAAATATATGTTTCTAACCTCAACTTAATTTACAGTCCTAACAAATAACACCTAAATAAACAAAACTATTTCAGCTTCCATCATTGCTCAGCAAACCTGCCAAAAAGTTGAAACATAAAAACTAAAACCCAAAAGGATTTGACATTGTTCACATCACAAACTGTAAGTGTCAATTTCTAGAGAAAGGCTCCACCTTCACTTCGCATGTAATCAACAACAGAGAAAATCTTTGTCTTCCCAACAGGCCCCCATCCTGAAATTTTGGGAGTCTAAAGCAAAGAAAACAAAAAATTGGAGTTTTTTAGACAAATTTTTAAAAACAATACCAAATGTTAATACTTTAAAGATTTGAGGACCTTTTATTGCAAAAATTGATTAAATTGGAGGTTTTTTTTTAATAATAATTAACTTAAAAATTTGGGAGCCAAAGGCCCATGTTTCGTCTCGCAGGCCGGCCCTGCTTCCCAATCAAGCTCCTCAGCAGCCTTACATGTAACCTCTTGAGTTGGAATTGGTACTCTGTGCTCATTGAACGATCTTGAATCCTTATTCATCATTCTGCGGATTGCAACTTGAACAGTTTCAACAAGTCTTGGAATCATATTGACCCCATGACCATATGTTGTTGATTTGGTACCATGGCAGTGGCGACCACAATGAAGTACAACCTGAACCGATATATGAGAGTATTAGTGAGAAATGGTTGTTTACTTAACCATTATGCCATTCAAAAATATTGGAATGTAATACTGTATGACAAAGACTCGCATACCTCTGAGTTTGTATTAGTATGGAGATATAATTCCCCTCCCACAAATTCTTTACCCAAACAAACATTCAATGCTTCTTCTGAATCATCCACATGAAAGCCTGCAAAATTTAAAACATAATTGCTTCTACTAAACCAACAATTGGACAATTCACTCTGGTTTTTCTTCGAGGAAGTGGCCAGACAACCTAAGCAGCAGTTTTGGTATCATAAAAATGTTTGCACTTTCAGAAAAAAATCTGTAAATAATACCAACAATTAGAGTCGGCCCTGAGAATAATAAGGCAAGCCGGACATAAAATTTGGACAGATTTATTAGTAATGTCTCTAAAAAAAAGTTAACAAGAAAATGCTTTTGAGAATATTCAAACTCCTTCCCTATGATATACATGTCTAAAGTACTCTTACAATAGACTACAAACACTATTATGTCAAAAACTAGAGCCGATTTTATATATATTTTTTCGAGGGCCGCAAGCCCATGCTTGGTTCGCTTGGATTCAGGGTCGGCCCTGCCAACAATAGTCTTTTTCATGCACATAAGTCATAAATTGTCTTACCTTTGGGGTTGTTTGGCAATGTATTTTTCTTTGTCGTTCCAACTAGAGAAGTTTGAGAGTTTTCTTTTCCAAAAAGAAAAGTCTGAGAGGTAGATCCTAATTCTCCCAGAGAGCTTTAAGGAGAAGGCTTAGGAGCAGGGTCGACACTGAACCCAAGCAAGGCAAGCTTGGTTGCGACCCTATTGTAAATATATAATTTTTCTGCCGTTATTTTTCATAAATCACTGGTAGGCTAGTGGTTAATCCCTCACTCATGACTTAGAGGTACGTTGTTCGAGTCTAGTCCGGGTATTTTTTTGTTTTCTGGTTTTGTGTTTGAATATTCACTATTTAATAGGCCCAACTTTTTTTTTTTAATTGTGGCCTTCATAACTTCAGAGCAGAGCTGCTTAGGAAGATCTTTTTTTGTTGCTCTACGTGTTTTGAATTGTCGGCTCCTTATCTCCACACTTATGCGAATGTGAAAGACAATAAAGGGCGAAGGATCTGCATTCGAAGAGAATTTGATCATCATAATAAGCTCCTCCTTCGATAGTGGAGAGAATTGAATGGAGTCATCAAAACCGTTTCTTCTTTAAGCCCTTGAATTCTTAAAGCACATCTTGCATTCGAATGCCATTTGAGTCTATGAAGTTTTATTTTTTTATATTGTGACGGAGGAGTCATGTTG